ATACATTAAATTATATAGGTATAATACATATGAATTTATTTATTTGTTTTTTTTTTATATTATAATATTAAGTTAGCATTAATATTTCTACATCAGTTGCGTTTTAAACGCCTTGGAGGATTACCCGGAATAACATGTGCTGAAAGAGCTTTAATTAAAGGATTGGAATGAGTTGCAAGCCGATTATGAAATCTTTTATAATAAGTGACTGCTTCATCTTTAACAGTTTTGATTTTCAGGTCTGTGTGAAGGGTATGGATTAGAAACATAAGAGGGTGAGTTTGTTAATTTTCTTAATGCAATATTTTGAAAAGTCTGTATACGATTTAAATTTGATTTTTTAGCATTTCGCCAGAGTTGGAGACCATAGGCCCAAATGGGAAAAATTTTGATAATACTTTCAAAAAAACTTATTTTGGAAGTTACGGTCAAAAAACATAAAAATGCTCAATTTTTCAATAATCCTGTTTTTTTTTTTATTATTTTCATTTGAAAGAAACAATCTATATACAGTTTTGCACAATAAGTTTATATGCCGATAGTTATTTAATGACATGAAAGTTGTGAATTAAGCAACCACCCATTAGTGGTTCTTGGCTTTTAATTAGTTAGATTTTTTTTTTTGACTATAAGACGTTAGACATTAAAGTTTAGTAAAAGGTCACGGCACCAGTTTCTTTTCAATCTGTGGTTAGGATTTCCAGGGAGAGTAAGGATGGAAATATCTTTTATGAGAGGGTCAGGATGATTTTGAAGTCGTTTATGAAATCGTTTGTAGGAAGTGCGTGCTTCCTGATCTATTGTTTTCCTATGGAAATCGTTATGGAGAGCGTGGTTAGAAATATGGGGCGGAGCATTGGATAATCGTCGGAGTGATATGTTTTGAATTGTTTGGATTCGATTAGTGTTAGATTTTTTTTCCTGCATCCCACAAATTGGAGTCCGTATGTCCAGATTGGTTTGAGTAGCGCTTTGTAGATTATTAGTTTGGTGTTTAGAGTGGAGTTCTTATTTCTAATTAGCAAAGGTCTGAGCATGCACATGCGATTGTTTAAGGCTAGTCATTTAGTTTGGAGGTGTTTCTTCCATGTGAGTCTTTTATCAAGGAGTAATCCTAAATTTTTAACTGTGTCTGATGTGGGAATTTGTACATTGATGAGAGTAATGTTTGGACATGTTCCTTGCTTGAGTGCGAATGTTGAGTGTATAGATTTGTTTTGGTTAATTTTCACTCGCCATTTTTTATACCACTCAGACAAGTGGTTAAGATGTACTTGTAGGTTTGATAAGGCAATTAAAGGATCTCCGTTGATGGATAAGATAACTTTGTCATCGGCATAATCCGATACGATGGTTTGTTGCATGGTGGGTTGGTCAGCTACGTAAATGTTAAACAGAAAAGGGGAAAGTATACCACATTAAGGTGCACCCGCTTTGATTGGTGCGATTTCCAATGTTGACGAATTAAATTGGACTTGGAAATGTCTATCAGTTAAATAAGATTTAATTATTAGGTATAGTGGGGTGGGAAGAAACTTTTTGAGTTTAAATTGGAGACCTTCATGCCAAACTCGGTCGAAGGCTTGTGCAACGTCTAGAAAAATACAAGAGCAATAAAGCTTTTTTTCAAGGGATGTAGAAATAACATCAACATTACAACAACTCGATGTAATTGATGTAACGTGCTATGTGAGTTACGGAACCCGAACTGGGTATTCGGAAGTATGTTGTTAGTGATAATATGTGGAATAATGCGTCTTTCTAAAACTTTTGAAAGGAAAGGCAAAATACTTATTGGTCTGCATGAGGTTGGGGTATCGAGTGGTTTGTCAGGTTTAGAAAACAGAACTATTTTAGAGAATTTCCATAGCATCGGAAAATATGACAATCTGGGAATAGCATTAAAAATATATGTTATTAGTACTATGGCTTTTTTGGGAAGGTACCTAACTATACTTCGGCCGTAATCAAATCAAAGCCGGGGACTTTTTTAGTGAGTATTTTTGGATGGGTGTTTAACTTCATTTGTAGTGAAATATTTTTCTGGTCGGCTTATTGAAGGTGGTAAGTTTAGGTAGGTGTTTACCTCATCAATGTGTTCAGGTATAAGTATATCATGATGTGGTTGGAATGTTTCGTGAAGATGAGCTTTAAAAACTTCGGCCTTATCGTTGACAGAGAAGGCAAATGAATTATCTGGTTTTTTGAGTGGGACTGAGGGGCGTTTGTATTGAAGTAGTGTTTTGGTTTCGCGCCATAAGCTCCCGTCATCTATAGAGGAGAGTGAGGTCAGTTTTTGTTCGTATATGTCAGCTTTATTTTTAGCTAAACATTTAAAATATAAACAATTTAAGTTTTTAGAATTATTTTTAGAAATGTTTGTATTTATATGCTCAACATTTTGGTAGAATAAGAATTTGCCTATCAGCTGCTTACTTTTTACGTTATTGTAAATAAACCACATAAAACTGAATTATAAAGTTATTTCAAATATTTGCATATTTGAGAAACTCAAAATTGATTCATTTTTCATTTTTTGACTTTCTCTTTTTTATTCGATGAGTAATAACATAAATTAGTTTTTGGTGAAATCAGAACTAACTTATATTTTTATAAGTCGTCGCGTCAAAATTACGTACGGTCGACAAAGGCGACCCGGGCCTCGTTACCAATGTCGGATACCTGTTGACAATGGCATTGAACGTGTTAAAAATAATAAGCAATAAAAAATCAAAATGTACAGATTTAGATATTAATGTGTATTATATTATATCAGTATTTTCGTTTGACTAATTAATCAACACAATATTTGCAAAGTCTAGAACACATCAAAGTCGTTGGAAGTTTAAGATAAGTTAACTATATATTCATATTTAAAAAGTAGAACTTTACTAACAGCTTTAACAGCATAAAATCAACCACGATTTACTCGTGCAATAATCGACTTGACGTAAATATTGTTAAGAAACATATTTATTCTCTACGTCTGTATTAGAGGTAAAAAAAAATCATCATCATATATCAAATATTTTTAAAGTTATCGATGTTTTTTCGTTTTAAGCTTAACTCGGGACACCATCTTTTTTATTTATCAGTTGTTTGTTCATTATAGTTTAGTCAGATTTAAACAATACCTAAGTACCTTTTATTTGTTTTATGTATTTTATTATAATTTTTACTATAAGGCTTACCAAAAGACTGGTTGTTGTTTAGTTAATTACTAAGGAGTTAAATATTTTGTTATACATATAATCTGTTTCAGATTTAAACAAATACTTATGTTTTTCTAATGTATTTTATTATTACTTATTTATCTAGTTAAAATTATGTGATGTTCAAAGGCTGACAGTGTTTAAATTAGTTTCTAAAATATTTATAATATAAGTTTAATCTGTTGTTGATTTAAAAAATAAAAAAATATATTTTGTTAAAAGTTTGAAAAAAAAAAACAATTTTGTTATGTCTTAATTGTTGTTGATGATTGAATTATTGTGATTTAAAGGTAAATTTGAAAACGGACTATGGTTCTTTCTTACCTACTTTTAAATCTAAAAGTATATTCTAATATAAAGTTTGTCAATTATTAAAGTTTACATTAAAGTTTAATTAAAGTTGAATATTCAATATTTAAATTTAAAAAATGGCATTTTTAGTTGTATCTATACATAGTTATAAATTATATATCATTTTATTGATACATTCCTATGTTGAATGTTGTAAGGAAGACATTTTTTTTCATGTATTTTGCCCCAAGATGGACACAAAAGGCTCAAAATGAGGTTTTCAGCAAAATTAGATAACTGCCCCAAGATACGCTCTTTCAAAGGTAACTTGGGGCAGCCATAAAAAAAATATAAAATCAAGAATTAAGTATACAAGTTTAAATTAAAATCCATATTAAAGTGTAGATTAAGAGACAACTTTTGATATGCATATTGACCCCATGGAATAATTATTTACTGAGATATACATCGTAAAAGTTCAAAACTGCCACAAGTATAAGCCACTTCTACGGTAATTGGTGTGACTAGCGCTAACGATGTACGGTAACGGGCGAAAAACCACTGAACAAAAAATAAATCAATGTAATAATACATAATATAATTATACACATATAATTAATTATATAATATGATATAATATAATGTGATAGGTATAATAAATTATGTATAAAATAATAATAATAATAATACTCACCACAGCCAAAATATAATAATTCGGACAGGCTGTTTGCCAAACGTTTTTTCTGTTCATTGCACAGTAGTGGGTAAGTAGACCAAAAATTATATGTGTGGTTATTTGAATTACTTACAGATCAAATTCATAATTATCGTTATCTGTAATTTTATTTCATATTATAAGTAACGGGCGGACGCAATATGTACTAGAAAAACGATTCTGAGTGGAGACGGTAGGTATGTTAGTCTAGGTATAAGACATAATCTGTGGTATTAAAAAAAATGTGTATCTAAAGTCGTTCGTTTTTGAATTACAACAAAATAAGAAAACCGTTACATGAGAAATCGAGTGAATATCCAATGTTGTAAAAATTTGAATTTCAAACGCTCATAAAAATTTAATTTGACTTTCTTATAGAAATTTTTTTTTAATAAAGGTAGACAAACTTATGATGAATTTTGTATTACATTTTAAAATCTTGTCGCTTGTGAAAACTATTGGGAAATTTTTACTTTTGACCTCCCAAAGTACCTACCAACTAGATTCACTTTGCTATCAGAAAAGTTACTATTGAAGAAAATCCAAGCATTTTAACTGTCCTAAAACGTGATGACAGACACAAAAAATAAATAAATAAATAAAAAAAAAACACACATAATTATAAAGTCAATACATTCATCGTTTCACTCAGAATCTAAAATACGTCCCTAGGATAATGAATTTGTATAATATGAAGAACACAATTTTATTTTATTTATCAGTTATCGATTTATTTGTTGAAAGTAACTCATGTTAATTAGTTCTATGGCCAATTTCACGTCCTAAGCCTCGACAATCCGGGAAAACCGTCCCTTTGCATGTGCTTTTGAAAGGCGAATCATGCTTTCGACGGTCCTGGGCGTGACAGGCAGAGTCCTCGCTGCGTCCGGACCGACAGCCTCCCGTGAACGGAGTCTTGCGTACTCTACCGTGATCAGCGCACTAGCTTCATTGTCCAATTGTGGCTTGATGCACTTGGAAATTGCCAAATACTTTCTTACGAAATCACTTTTCAAAATTTTTGTGTAAACTGGTCCATGCAGTATCGGATCGTATTTTTCATAGACGTCGTCCAACTGATCTGTTGCTGTTATATTATTTTCAAAACTTTTTGTACTCAAAACATCCACACCTGAAGTCAATGGAAACACTTCACCGTCTTGTTCTTTAGGATCTCTGTACCTATGAATACGAACTACATGGTCACTTATCAAAATATCATTTTCACGATCAGGTACATCCAACATGATCATCATTAAATCAAACCGAGATAGTAAGGAATCTTGCATACCTATGTTATCCCTTGGAGTTTTACGTTGATCATAATTACCACCTAGTGGGTTAGCAGCGGCTAAAACAGAGCATCTGGGCATTGAGCTTTGCATGTATACCAGATTTTGAAATAGACACTTTCCCTTGCTCCATAGCCTCATGTATAGTTACTCTGTCAATATCTGACATTTTATCAAATTCATCAATACACACCACACCTCTGTCAGCAAGTACCACAGCCCCAGCTTCTAACTGACGACCACCAGTTGATCTGTTTGTAGTAACAGCTGCAGTCAAACCAACTCCTGTCGATCCTCTCCCTGTAGTGCATACTACAAAGGGAGCAACATGCAATACACATCTTAATAGTTGTGATTTGGCAACACCCGGATCCCCAATTAATAATATATTAATATCTCCACGTATACGGGAGTTATTGGGTAGTGTAGTTTCAACTTCACCCAACAATAAACATACTATTGCTTGTTTAATGTGTATGATGCCATGGAGGGAGGGTGCTATCGAATTTGCCAGCAACTCAAATACATCATCTCTTTCTTTATTTACTAGCTTCCTACACATGCTGATGTCGGACCGTTCTACTGAAAAATTTGCATTTTTTATAATGACATTGTTCCCGATCGTCATTGTCTTAAAAAAAATGCTGCCTTTTGCCGGCAAAAAACATCGATAACTCCCAACTACATATTTCCTCATCATGTATTCATATTATCATTCATGCCCTTTATTGTCTATTAATTTGTCAAATTAACTGTAATTGCTACATTATTATAATATTATAATAGTAAAAAAAGAACTATTTGTGAACCTAATTAATAAATTCATGGAAAACCAGAATGATCACTGTAAAATAAATACAAATAGAATGAATTATTATAAAATGATGCATTTTTAGTAAATTATTATTTATTATAACATAATATAGTATACATGATATTTATCAATGGATTATAGACAGTACTATCTATAATCAATAGTATAAGCACAGAATAACTATTATTCTGAGGTAAAAGTAACCAATTACAATAATATATGTATGTTTCATTAGTAATCCATAGTATTTAGTTTAATAAATTTTTACAACCAAAAATGTAACCTTAAAATTATTTTTAAGTGCAATAATACAAAACAAAATTAAATATGTTCTAATTACTTTTATATGTATTCTGACACATTTGTAGCATATTCATTCTATGCTACAAATGATAAACCATATACCTACAAAGTATTAGACTAGTTGTACAATAATACAATATAACCTTACATAAATATTTTAACGATTAAATAGTCAACAATAACAATATTTTTGCTCCGATTCTGAATGATCATCATTACACCGAACCACATTGGCATCTTCAAGCTTTTCCCATAAGCTTGGTGTATTTATTATCTATTTTCAAAATGATTGTATTATATATATATTACATAAATATATATTTAGAGTTAAGCCATATATAATTTTTTTTTGATGACTAATATTATGGAAAAATGGAAAAACTTGATATTTAAAAAGCAGACCAATTATTCAATAGTTAATATAATAATGAATAGTTTTACAATAAAAAAAAAAAACAGATTTTAGAGTTTTTGCCATAAAAATAAATTATGAATCATTAATATTTTGTTTTTAATTTATTTATGTTAATGTATGGATGGGAGACCAATAAACCTGAGTAATTCATAAATAATTAACTTACTTTTCTAACTAATTCTTCAAAAGCCATATAAACGCCTTCTTTGGTTTTAGCACTAGTTTCAATAAATAATGTTTGATGGCGACGAGCAAAAGCAATACCTTCTTCTCGAGTAACTTGTCTTTCCTATGATTAAAAATAAGTATTACGAATATGGTTATAAATTATAATCCATATATTCATATATTCATAATGCAAACATAGTCATTTAATATATCTCAAATATATCGTCGAGGAATCACATTTCATAAAAACTTTGATGGTACAACTGATAAGTTAAATACATGGTGCAATAATTTAATTTAATTTATATTATACATAGTATAATATATTTTACAGAGTATTATAATTATGAACAAATTGCTTAAATTTTTTTTAAATATTCTGTAATTTTGTTATGATTTGATAAATATTGTGATTACTATTGTATTATACATATTATAAATACTTACCCTATCAATTTTGTTACCAACAACCATTTTAATAATATTAGTTTTGGTAGAGTATCTATTAAGTTCATTAATCCATGTTTCTAAACATGTAAATGAATCTCGGTTTGAAACATCATAAACAAGTACAGCACCTTGACCGTCGCGGTAATAATTTGGAGTGAGTGTACGAAACCTTTCTTGTCCAGCTGTGTCCTAAAACATCATTCTAAATTAATCTATTGGCTCATATATTTAAATATTTAATTACTTACCCATAAAGCTAGCTTAATATTATTATTATCAACTGTTATTTTTCTCATTTTAAAATCTACACCAATAGTGACTGCATTGTCCACATTAAATGTATCATCTGTAAATCTGCATAACAAACTAAAAACAAATATTTATATTTAATTGACATTTTGTTAAACTTGTAAATATTAAATATAAAATAAATGTAGACATTTGCATATAAATATAATAAAACATATTATTTTATTTTCTGTAACCATTAGCAACCCTGCAATAAACAAAAATATATTATTTGTCTGTGTTCTATAAAAAGTTCCAAAAAAAAAACTAGGGGTGACTTATCGAGATGAAATATAGCATATAGATATTTGAGATGGTGTAGCATTCTGATTTCTGATGGTAAAAAATTATTACATACGATTATCCTGAACAAACAAATAACAATTTTTCATTTTTATGCTATCAGTATAAATGTAAAAGTCGCACAGTTTTTTTTTTTTATTAATTCATATTTTATTTATTTATTTTATTGAATTAAAGCCTGGGAGGCTCGAGTACAGTAATATAATAAATCAACATAAGTAAATATATGGGTAAGAGAGATATTTCAAATAATAGAAATAAGTAATGCACGGTATAATATTAAAACATTTAAAAACTTAAACTAACAATCAAGAGCCGATTTAGAGGACTATATTGACCAAAATTTGTGAGGTGGGCTTCTATATAATATTTTATTTATGCATATTATCTGTATAATATTATGAACAATAAGTAAATGGAAATGTATAAAAGAAACAATGTCATTGACAATAATAAAATTAAAATTGAGAGGGAATTTTCACAGCTGAAACACCCTTAATTGAATTAACTTAATTACATGAGGTATCTGGGTAAATTCTGATTTATTGGAGATAAATTAATAAATTACAGTTGTTGCATCTATTATTTGTATACTTAGGTTTGAATAAAGAGATAAATTTGAAACAAACAGGGGAACTTTGGTGATGATAAAGATGAAAATCTTGTAAAATTATTACCATTTTTTATTTTTTAAATTGAGTTTAACCCTTGTGTGATAAGTGATTATTAATACTTAGAATTTTACATGGTTTTTACATGAGGTATGTGATTTATTTAGTATGATTGTTGGGCAGTACTTGCACAATTATTTACTTCAACAAATTCCAATAGGAATTTTACTGTAGAATATATTATTTTTAAACATTTAAAATTCCTGATCCTTTATAATTGTATACGATAAATGATAGAGTTAGGCATTTATTCAAGCACATACATGCAATTTTTAAACATAATATACTAGGGTTATTTACATTTAATTTTTTATTCGTAATTTTAATTTAGTTAATATCAAATTGTAATTAGGAAAAAATGCCCTTTCTATGAAAAAATCCCATTATACAAATTATGCTACTGCTGCTACATTAGATGTGTACAAGTAAAAACAAACTTTTTTTGTATGTGTATGTGTTTTTCTTATTTTAGTAAATATAATACTTTTTTAATTCAAAATCATTAATATTATATAATAATATAATATATAATATACTTTGTTTCAAAAGAGAATACACCAGTTCAGCACACTTTTCTTCCCTTTTATCGGACATCACCTATGACATTATGTAGGAGAAGCGAGCCGGTGGACAGAAACCAGTGGCCGCCGGGTGTATTCTCTTTTTGAGAGGAGTATAAAATATAAATATAAATATATAATATGTGTATAAATCATAATATGCAATCTAATATCAATATAAACTAATGAAAATTTGATAAAAAGCTATATTTTCATTTAAACATTATAAATATATCTCTATTACACATTAATTACAATAAATTATGATCGCGAAAAAATCCAAACAAGTTTACTATCTTAAATTGTATACCTACCTAGTACGTACAAAGGAAAAACACTTATAATTCTCATATTTAGTAATAGAGAATAGTATCGTTAAATCTATATATTTTATTATAGGTACTATTAAAATAATTAATTATCATAATAAATGTATTTTAATTTTAAAGTACAAAAATGTATGGTTTTTAAACTGGAAATTTTGTTTCCTCAATTCAAATCAAAAATAGCTTACCATGATTTTCCAACTCCACTTTGACCAATTAATAAAATTTTTAATGTTGTTAAAACTGATGGATCCATTAAAATTGTTCTATCTGATTGTATGTATAACCTGTAATTAATATAATTCTTAGTTTCTTAATAATCAAATGTTTAGTAGCTAGCATACTAAAATACATAATTAAGCAAAATAATTACCTTGATGACTTCTAAAACAACCGATTTTTTATGGTACCTACTCCCCAGACTTGAGATATATTTCCAATAACTGTGAGCAGAACAATAATTGATGTTGAATGTTAATACAAAATAATACTATAATGATATTGCGTAATAATATACCTACTTAATACTTATAAATAATAGGTAACACAGAATTTTCTGTTTATACCTAAAAATGTAGGTATATAATATATTAGGTGATAATTTAATAATTAAGGATAGATTTACGAATTATGATTAACACGAGAAGTATTAACACTTGATACTAGATAGTTATATTATATTTAGTAATTAGATCACAGAATAAATTAATTTGACATTAGTGTTAGACGGGTGATCTAAGAACTACTGTGAAGTGTGAAGTTGGACTGTAGTCTGTAAGTAAACTGTAATTTGTAAAGTGTAAAGCTATGGCCTATGAGTGTTTTTTTTTCATGAATCGCAATTCATACGACTAGAAGATAAGAATATATCTCTAGTGATAAGAAGCCTAGTGTGCACGTTTGCTGCATTTCAATATATTCCAGGCGCCTAACATTTATGTTTTATGGTGCGCGGTGCACCCATAGAGTAATATTGTTCTATGGTAATACTATAGAGAGTAATGAGTATTACTATGACTATATAGCAGGGGCGCACCCAGGATTTTTTTTTGGGGAGGGCTAAATTCACATAATTTTAATATTATTAGGTAGTATTTATTTTGAAATATGTACAGAAATCTTTAAGCTTTTTTACAATCTTTTACTAACAAATTTTTTTTATTTTTGTCCCGGTTTTAAGTGTCGCCGTAGCCTTGATGTTATACCTGTAAAACATAAATATTATTTATTTAATTATGAATAATATAATGATTATTTTTTATAAGTCTAACCTTTTAAATTATAAAGTTGAGACGCCTTGGTCCTTTTTTCCCCAATACTGAGAGTACTTCTGAAGTTTGAACATCTATTTCTCTGTGAATATGAAGCATAGCTAAACCATTCAGTCGATTCTGACTCATTGTATTTCTCAAGTATGTTTTTATTCTTCTCAAAATGGAAAATGATCTTTCTGTTGTACTGGTCGAAACAGGCAATGTTGAGAATATTTTTAAAAGTATAAATATAGTTTCAAATAGAGTATCATTACACAAATTTAATGCATCGATTGCATTATGTGGTAATGAATGATTTGGGCATTGGAATTTTTGATACCATAAATCAAATTCGGCTACTGCAGCGTTAACACCATTTTCTGGTATAATAATTATCATTTTTATAAAATTCTAAAAGTTTTAAATACTGTGATTTTTCTGTTTGATTAGGAGAATTTCCAGTTGGTAAAAGACACTTAAAACTTTTAATAATACATTTATGCTTTAAAAATCGGTCGGATATATTATTTATAAAAGAATCTAGCCATGGAATAAAAATGGCACGTCTATAATATTCTTCTTCATTTTCTGCTGGTACATTGCATCGTTTGGTTTGATTTTTTGTTAATCTGGGCATAGTAATTGTTAGTTCTAAAGCATTAGCAATTACGTTTCATTAGCAATTTTTTTTTTTACAACAATTTAAAGTAAAATGTCAATATGTCAATAAACCTAATAAAATTATCAAAATGTTTGGGGCTAGCCATTTGGGGGGGGGCTAAAGCCCGTTAGCCACCCCCTTGGGTGCGCCCTTGCTATATAGAGTACCTATTAGTCTATGGGTGTATCCCACAATTTTATTAAAGGTACACAACTTACTAGCACTCACAGTCCACAGATATAGATAATGAACTATTTAATATTTATTATATATTTTCAAAATGATTGTATTATTTGTATTATAATATATTACATAAATTATAAATATTATGTAGAGTCAAGCATGAAGCAATATAATATATCATAATTCATAATATATACCTTAATTAGTTAATTATTATTATCTATATGAGTTTATCTGTTTCTCAGAGTCAGAGACTTCTACTATAATAATATAATATATTCAATAATATATTTATGGTGTTGTAAAGTATTTAAGTAAAAGTATTCAAATACCTCTTATTTCCGTATTGAATAGGTACTTTTTTTTATTCTTTTAATCACGGTGTATTATAATATATCGTGCTTTTAATTCTTAATTTGTTTCTATTTATAAATTATAATCCTTGTTAAATAAAAAGAACCGTTCCGTCGTGGTTATCCTTCAACGTATTACATATTATAACAATATTATATTACATATATATAAATAGTAAAATAAACAGAATAAGTTACAATCGTGAAGGATACACGCAACAGCTATAAAAACATTATATTAAAAAAAAAAACATAAAGGTAGGCAATGCATATACAAAATCTCCGTATTTATAGGCAACCACTTAGTTTTCCTGGGATGAGATAAGACACTATCAGTGTTTTGATTGCAAGTGTCGAGTATACATTATACAATATACAATAGTACAATACGCTTATTGGAGTGTGCCGTATTGTCACTTAATATTTTATGCCTTATGATATTTGATGATTGTATTTTGTTTGTACTAGTTTTTTAGAGTAATAACTAATAACGTCTAGGTACCACGATTAAAGATAGTAATTTAACTACTATCTTTAATCGGGCTATGCATAGGAACTAGTAAATTAGTTACTTTTATTTTAATAAATGCTATTTAAATTTATGTATGTTAATTAGTGTTGAAACTAAAAAAATTATTTTCAATTGACTACTCGTTTGAACAGACGGTTTGTATTTAATTACATTTTTTTTTATATATTTTTCGTTATAATCTTTTCTTTTTTTCTTTTCAATATAAAGATAGTTTAAATAAAAACAGCTTTGTCCTATATTATTAAATATATATGTACTATATATTATGTATTTTTAAATCAATAACATTTTATTAGGTTTATCATCAAAATGATGTCTTTTAAAAAAGGTAATTTTCGCATTGGAGAAGCTGAATTAAAATGTAAAAAAGCAAATGGATGTGATTATTATGGTAATCCACAATGGGATGGCTTTTGTTCAAAATGTTATAAAGACATACAAAAACATAGGCGAATGAATGCTTCACCTAAGTATGTAATTGATTCATAAAAAAATGTAGTATATTTTATTATTTTATAGCACAGACAATGGTATTAATGTCGCTTGAATATTATATTCTATAATATTCTAGCAAAAAAAGAAAAAATGTATTTTTAAATTGTATACCTAATGTACCTAGGTAAATGTTTTTTTTAAATTGGTATTTGTATTTTAAAATCTAACTGTTAACTCTGAATACATTTCTAACTAGTGTCATTCTAGCTCACCTAGTAATTGGTGAGGGATACGAGGGACCTAAGAATTTATTTATATTGAGGATAAAAGACAATTGTAAGCTCACAAAAGGAGCTCATTTACCATCTTTGTGACAGGAAAAACTTAACCAACTAATTTTAACTTATTTATCCTAAATATATATTTCAGAAAGGTTCCAATTAACAAGACTAGTGAAAAACAAGATTTAAAAAAAGTTGGTTCAACTGAAAAAAAATCCAAATTGTCATACTTGAAAATGTTCAATACTATTAAATCTAAAGGTTTGTTAAAATAGATATTTATTTACACGTCATATACATTATAAATATATCGTGTTTCTTGCTTTTTTCGATTGAAGATTCCCTGGTTTTTTAAATTTTAAATATTTTTAAGTATATATTTAAATACATTAGGTAGGTAATAGGTACCTAGTATTTACAAATTAATTTATAATATATGGTTTAGTGTCAGTGATATCAAATTATTTTGATTTTTAAAATGATATTTCTACTTTATCTGAAATAAAGTGTTTTTTTTTCTAATAACTCAAAAGAAACAAATTTTCAAAATCTTTATACATTCTTGGTCCATTCATTATTGAAAAATCCGGAAACTAGGTGGTTGTTCTGCTTTACTTTAGGTGTCTAGCCTACCTCTGGTAGACTGTCACTGCTAGTCACTCTTATTTGTTAAATTTGAATTCAATGATAAATCATTGCGTAGGAGAAAACAATTCTGCGCAAAGATGGCCTAAAATAAAACTGTGTATTTATTTTTTAGATTGTTTGGTTAAATACAGTTTTTCCATACAATTTTCAATTTTTCATGGTTACTTTAGAATTACAATGATTTTTTTTTTTTTGACCCCCGTAGTACAAACTAGATTGAATTTACACAAATTTGAAAATTGAAGCATTTTTACTGTCCCAAAAAATGATAGCAAACACACATCAATGTAAAATCAATACATTTATTGCTCCACTCAGAATCTAAAACCTATTAAAGGACCCCACATACTGCAGCGGTGGCAGGGAATTGCTGGAGGACACATTTCACCAATAACCGTGGCGGTAAAGCCAAGACAATAGAATTTAACAATACCGTTGCAGTGTGTGAGGACCTTAATGCTGTTATTGATAACTATGTGTTCAATTATTAAATATATTATGTGTTATACCTAAATATAAAAAATACAGTTAATATAATTAATTATATTTTATTTTTAGATGATATGTCTGAAAAATCTAAAAAAGATTTTGATCCACTTATTACGAAGAAATTGGATCAAGTGGATATAGAATATTTGCCTATTTTGTCTGAAACAAAATCTTTGCGGAATGATTTAAAAAAACAAATTCGCAATTTTTGTCAAATGATGATGATGTCACATTTACAAAGCCCTGTTGATATTCAGTCTGAACTCACTCAACATTTTTATCAAAATATTCTGGATATGCTGAATAATAATTATTCTTATGATGGTATTGTATACAATTGTTGTTTGTTTTATTATATTTTTGGATAATCTCAATGGTTAGGCAGGGTCGGATAAGACCGCCGAGTTACCGAGTTAAACTCAGTAGTCCCCTTAAAATTTGGGCCAGCTTGGTAATATATTTATATATATAGCTGAACATTTTTGATTGACCCAAATTCTGAACAATGAAATGTGATTAGTAATAAATAATAAATATTATGTCCTATTGAAAAATGGGCCGATTAAATTCCTAAAACTCGGTGGGCCGATATAACCGGCGCTGGGCTTAGGTATTTGCTATTGAGATTGCTTACTATCATATGAAACAGTTGAATATGTCCATGAGAAATGTATTAATAAGATTATCTTTACACTTCATAAGTTACCTTAACACTTGTCTCTCACTTGATGATATTTTTTATAATACTTGTACTCACTTTTTTCCGATCAAAAACACAAAGCAAACATTTCTAATTATACAGAATTGATCAACCTGAGATTTTATTCTAATATATTTTGTGTGTCTACTCAATCTTCTATCCATTTTCACTTTCCACATTCTTCCACTAGTTGGCTGTAGTCTTATTCTTATACAATGTGTCCTCTTGGGGAAGTGATATGATAGTATACCTTAAGTTATGAATAAAAAACTCCTTTAAATGCGGTCTAAAGGTGAGATGGTTTTTGTGATTGTAACAATGAGCTTAGATGAGGCATGTACTCATAAGAGATATAATTTATGAATACTAAGTGTTTAAGATATTCTAAATTCTAAGTATTATTCTGTAGAATAATAAAATTAAAATAAAAACAGTAGTAAATATGACGTTGTTTAGAATTATAACCACGCAATTTCCTTTCAAAAATGCTAATTTTCGTTAACTTATTTTACTTTGTCTACAAATGTGCTGTAGATTTGGTGTTGTATAATAAAAGTACCCATAAGCCATAACTAAAGAAAATAAAAAGTTTGACCCCCTTTCAGGGGCTTTTTCATAACTCAAGTTATACTATCATCTGACACCGGCTTAACTATTACTACACTTCTTCCAATGTGTTTCTAATGTACTATTTTGTTTTTATATTTTTTAAATACCAATAATTCTAAATTAATAAAAAACATTTTTTTATGTAATTTATTATTATTGTTTTTGTTTTTAATAACCGTGTTCAGTTTTTTTTTAATATTTTTTATTTCCAGAATTGAGTCATGAAAAAAAAGAACAAATTTTGGATTATACAGAAAAATACTCTATGATAAAACTATATAAGTTTTTATTTTGTATGACTTTGGCTGATGAAGAGGAAGATTTAGCTATACAGAAAAGGTATTTTACTAACATATAAAATTATATTTATAATTTAGTAACAACAATATGTATGTTATTGTGATGAGTTAATTATACAGTAGAGAAGAACAGTAGTTGATATTTAAAGAAATGTAATTTATAAAATTTATTTATTTGCTTTTAATTCTAATCTAATTTTTGTAATAACTAATAGATGGTATTAACTCATTAAGAATTGAGTACTATTTTGAATCACTTGGTATCATAACATGTTTCATTAGCTACGTAATAACTCGGACCCAGATTAATTCATAAAAATTTGTAATATTTGTATTATTGTAAGATAATAAATAAACAATAAAAATTCAATAATTAAAAATTTGCTTTTGTTTTTTTTATATGTATAATAACTATAGTTGTATGTATTAAAATGTATAATCTAAGTTTATATAATACCATTTTAGGATACGTCAGTTAAATTGGGTGAATGCTAAACATCTAGACTGTGATATTGACAAAACTAATGCTCAGATTATTGAATTGGTATACAAAGCAATTCTAGAATTATTAGATATGGATTCAGCTACAGCACCACAAGACAAATTGGCATGTGTTGTTAGATGCTGTCGACATATATTTGGAGTTTTGCAAGGTGGAAACAATGGAATGAAAGGACCTGCATCTGCTGATGATTTCTTGCCTGTTCTCATATTTGTTGTTCTCAAAGCAAATCCAGTTAGACTTAAGTCTAATTTGCATTATGTGACTAGATTTTGTAATGCTTCAAGGCTGATGTCTGGAGAAGCTGGATATTATTTTACCAATCTGGTAGTTAAATTTTAATATTTTACATTTAGTATCTTTGTTAAAATTCACTAGTGTTGAAGAAATCAATATTAAATATACTTTATCGGTTATTCTAATAAAATTAGCATTATATATTGTCAATAATTCCTTATTCATAAAAATTTTTTTTGAATATTTATTGCAGTGTTGTGCCGTATCATTTATTGAAAATATTAATGCAGAACTTCTTAGTATGAATATTGAAGAATTTGAGCAGTACATGAATGGAACATTAGTATCCGATACCTGGGATTCTGCATTAATTATATGTGAAGTAAATATAAAAATGTTGGTGTTATGTGAATCATTAGTGACTCGTGTGTATATGCAAGGCCTAACCAATTTCAATAAGAAAAAATAATAATTAAATTATTCATATACTAATTACTAAAGATTTTTATGAATATTATGTTTCAAAGTTTTTCGACATGTTATTTTTATTCTTACTTCTTTTCTATATTCTGATAAGGTACAACTTTAAATGTTGTCATTATATGTTGTCACAACATGAAATCATGTGTTTTTATGTTTTCTACCACACTTGAATAGGTAGTGATTACATTATTATTTAATTTGTAATCTACCTACCTTAAATGTTTTTTTTAAAAAAGCATATTAATACAATGTTAATAGTATATTAGTACATCAAACTATTGTTGAATTACAAATTTGTTCTGTGTTTGTCATAATTATATTATTATTTAATAATAAAAATAAGTTTCACTGATCTATTAAAATACAGTACATTACTTGAGTAAAATAAAAGGTAAATAATGATATATTATTAAACAAGAAATAACTAATTGTTTAATATTATAGTATATTATTCATATCTCTGTTAAATTATATTTTTGAATGCACACTGACTTCACTAAAAACACATGAGCTGCCACAGATGTTAATTATAATTATTCTTATATTTTAAATTTCTATAATATGAATTAATTTAGGGGATGCACCAAATGTTTGAGCAGTTGGCATTGTTGGCAGATTTAAAAAGAAGAAATATAATGATTGTTGATGATGCATTAAAGCTTAAGAATGAAATGTCTGATTTTAAGGTACTCATTTATATATGCATTTAAGAAACTTAACATGTGCATATTTAATATATTTTTGTAAAATTCAATTAAACCTATAAAATATTTTAAATATCTATCAATTGTTAAATAAATAATCTCATAAGATCCAACATAATAATATTTTTTTTTTTAATTCCCATAGGATAATTTTATGGATCAATTTGCGGTTTTAAAAGAAGTGTATACTATTATTGATGATTGTGATGAAACAAATAACAAAGTGGCTGTTAGTATTGATGATTATGACCCTTTATGTTCCAGTTTACCCACAGGACTATCATGGACTATGACACCACAGGTTAGTTTTTCATATTTATACTGATTATTATTTGTACAACTACTCATAATCAGTATGAACGAATGATCAAATGAAATGGAATGTATGTAGAATAATACTGTTTAGGTTATTCAACCTGCAGAAAGAACTCGTACAAGTTCTTCTTGTACAGATGGTGATTCTTGGGACATCCATTCTGCCGAAACAGTATCATTGCATTCATTAGATGCTTGTTCTAATATACCACAAGAAAATAATGAAATTGCGGGAAGTAGCTTAGAACCAACAATAAAAGTACAACCACAGTTAGATGAAATACAGGTGTGAATTTGGTCCATCCAATAGTAACAAATTAACGACACAATAATTAAAATAGTCTTTTAAAATTCAGTATATGATTGTTAAAAATACAGAAACAGTGTGAAATGATTTTAAATCAAAATCATATATTTATTTCTTGGTGATGGATAATATTGGATAATCTAATGCATGATTTAATTAAAGCTTTACAATAACTTTCATTTTAAACAGCATGTAATTTGTTTGTGTCTAATGCCCGCATGCAAAGTCAATTTATTTTAAATTATATGTATTTTGTAAGCTACTTTAAATTGTTCATTAATTTCAATTAATAGTTACTTATAGTTTTATTTTAAAACAATTTTCCAGGAAATATCTATACACGGATGTCAAATACCAAGTATACCATGTGAAACTGGAGGAAAAGAAATTATTAACTCAAAAATAAATCCACAATAAATATAATTGTTTTATTTAGTTTTTAATATATAATTTTGTTAATAATATACTACCTGTTTATTTATTTTTAATTATTTATTAATTATTATATTGTGTTAACTGTCTCTATTTATTATATGTTAAAAGAATGTTTAATAATATATCCCTTATAGATTATAATATAGACTATATATAAATAGTTCTACTGGTTTGATGTTTACTGTCGATTATTGGTAATTTAACACTAATATATTAGTTTATTATTTAACACATATGCAAATATTAAGTTAAATAGTAGTATCCAATGGTAGTGTATAGTCTGATTGGATTTTTGTCTCGATTGATGTTTTAAAACGTTTTGTAGTTCCAATTTGCTGAATATATGGACAAGCAACTAATTTCATCTAAAATACAAATAAGATACAATAATTGGTACATGTAAAATAATTATTAAAATTTTAAATAACTTAGAAAATAATAATATTTAAAATAGTTTTCATGTATTCAATATGTCAGTGGTCACTACTCAATCAATTAAGGTCAATGAAGTTTCAATTAAGCTATACTGTACATATATCTTTTTTTATATACATTTTACTTATTGTATTTAGTATGTAGGTATAGATTGTAAATATTCTATTTTAATAGACAAAGAAAACCTTATAATAAAAATATTGACCTTACATAATATTATTATCTTAAACTAACATGCCAAGAAACAAAACAACAATTTTTAACCTACCTGTAAGTCAATTGTTTCTGTAAATTTTCTTATGGGTGATTCTAAGTTGAAATTTAGTTCAGTAGTATACTTAACAGGGACTATTCTTGGTTCCATCCAAAATGTTGATTGATACCTAAAATTAATAACTATTTACTATTTACTATTTAGTAGGTACTAAATATTTGACTATTTTTATATTTGAAATTTAAATACCAATGATAAAATATTCCTAAATCTTTTTGTTTAGAGCAAATTATCATTTTTGATATTACACAAATTTGTGAAAATTATTTTTTAAAAATAATAAATACATAAGTAAGATATAGATTTATTTAAATGTTGCAATATTACAATATTACAACAATTAAAATTAAATTAACATGTATTGCTCCATATTCAATAATAAAGTTAATAATTTTTAGAATTCTAGATTCCTTCTTTTTTTATAATATATACGTTGTGATAGGTAACCAAAACCATATAAACACAATAACAATAATTAATGAAGTATAAATACAAAATATTGTACATTTCTGCTGAAATAACTTTTGTATGATTTAAATTATTACGATGGTGTGTATAACTGATGTTTTTTTGATTTTGATTCTTGTTAATGGTTGCGAGCTGTAACTTATTCTTATCTAATGTACAAATAAAACATTTTTATTTAAGTAAACAGTAGATACATTTTTAGTGTACATTATATTTACTCAATTTGTTATCTAAATTAGGTAAAAATCTCATGACGCAACCGCAGTCTCGTATTAAAAATCCTTCAGGTGAAATTCTTTGTTCTGGTATATCTTTGGTAAATTTAAAAGTCTGTTTGAATATTGTTTTACAGTGTGTACTATTATTTTCATTCAGTGTTTTTCCTTCTGAATTCCACATGATATACCTATAATCATCTGCGAAAATGTGTAAAGTTATGAAAGGTGGTTAGTGGCCACTATGTGTTAAGTAGGTAGGTACCTATAGTTGGTAGATACTTAATAATATATTAAATTAATGTTTAAATATAGTAAGTACCTACCTACTTTTAACATATTGAAATACTTTAATATATTTTATATTATACATAAAACAATATCTTATAGACAGGTACAGTAGCCATTAAGTATGTCTGAATGTCTGATGTCAACATCTACCTATAGGCTAATAAACTATTGAATCTGTAGGGTGTATTACAGATAAAAAATAGGACAGTACTTTAGGCTTAGGCCTATATAGTCACAATTATAGGGGAAATATCAACAATTTTGCATAATTTAGTACCTATATGGCTATATATATATATATACATTATAATATCATTATGTAAAATATAAATTGGGATGTAATATATTATAGTAACTTGCTATAGTTAGGTACCTACCTAATTTATAAACTATTTTTAAAGTAACAATGTAGCACATTATAAACAGCCAAATAGGTATTTTAGTATTAAAAAATTCGGTTAGTTACCTACCCACCTATTTTTTAAATTTTTTATTTTTCACGAAGATAATGGGCCATTGCCCATTTCCCATTGGGCCCACCCCTAATCATCATCTAATTAATGTGATTACTGATAACTCATAAGTCATAAGTAATGCTGCAAGAACCAAGAATCCTACACATTTTTTATAGGTACCTATATCGATATAGGTATAGCAAGGTATCTTTATTTTTTTGAGACCAAAGCTGGTAGGCGTAGTGAGTTACCTATTTAGTATTTACTACTTGTCATAGGGTACGGTAAATGTATGTTGCGAATGCGGGCCCGTGTTTCTAGGATGTACCTATGTTTATTGCGTATTTGGGTCCGTCGGAAAGTCCGTAAAAATAACTTAATGTCATAATTATAATTATAATTACTTATTAATTAATATAATGTTTTTATAGATGGCTAGGCGTAATAGGTACCTAACTAATAACAACTGGTTTCAAAAGAGTACCTATATTATATCCGGTTCTTTATCTGGTAGGTAGATGTTACCACAGAATACATATTTTATTCTGTACATAGGCGTGTCTAGAATTCGTTCGCAGGTATGGCCTAGAAAACATTTCTTAAAAATAAAATATACAAAAATGTATATAAAAATATAAATAAATAGGTGGTTAAGTGAATGTCACTCTGCTGTACAGTAGGTTACAAGTGGGTGAGTGGGTCACTGAATAATGGATGGTATTAAATTTGAATTCAATGATGTAATATCATTGTACACCGGTATACGAAAAACGATTCTTAGCGGTGGCGGTATGTCAGTCTAGGTATAAGAGATAAGACATATTATATACTTATCTATGGTCTTCAAAAAAATTTACCTATAATAGGTACCTATAATAAATTCCAAATTAATCATATCACAATATCCATTAGGTACTTATAACGCGTTATACATCAACAACAAACCCTGATACTATCATAGATATATAATAGTGTACCTACTTTAGAAGTTTCAAGTAGGTACCCACGAATAATATTATACAATCACAACAAATTTAACTAAAATAGTTATTCTAGGTTTTTTATTACGTAATTTCGTCCAAATTTGAACTTAAAATGACTATTTTTTGGTAAAAGAATTAACTACTTAGGTGGAATCTTTTAATAAATTTTCAATCCTTAGATATAAATGTTGAACATTTTATAAATTTTTAACTACAAAATAATCATTCAATTTTAAATTTGATAAATTTTGTGAAAATTCGATCTTTAAATGCTTATAAAAAAAATTGTGCCTATATATTTTTAATATTTTTCAACTGTTGTTGTAACAATAAATCAGGAGCCTTGTATTAAATTTTTACACTTTTTGGCCGACAGATAAAACTTTATTCATATTTATAGAAAAAAAAAACTAAGAAAATTGAAAACTGAAAATGTCCATAAACAGCTCAAAAAGAGTCAAAATATTTTCAAAATTGTATGGTGTATAGGAAATGCTAATATAAACATTCAGGGAAATTTTCATGTGTACAGTTATTCATTTTTGAATTACAAGAAAATAAGGAAATCGAGTAAATATCCAATTATGTAAAGATTTGAATTTCAAACGCTCATATAAATTTAATTTGACTTTCTTATAAACATTTTTTTTTTTGATAAAGGTAGATAATCTTATAAGGAATCTTTTATTACATTTTAAAATCTTAGATTTATAAAGAAAAATTTTACGAATTCTTAACTGAAAATAATTTGCTAATATTCGTGATTTTTCCATATTTTGTCAAATTTTGAACTTTAAATGCTTATAAAAAAAAACTGTGACTAAGGATTTTTAATATTTTTCAAATATCACCGTAACAATAAATCAGGAGCCTTGTATTACATTTTTACACTTTTTGGCCGACAGATAAAACTTTATTAAACATTCATAGAAAAAAAAACTAATAAAATTGGAAACTGAAAATGTCCTTAAACAGTTCAAAACAAATCAAAATATTTTGAAAATTGTATTATGTATAGAAAATAGAAATATAAACAACCAGTGGAAATTTCTTGTATCTACGGTCATTTTTTTAAAAGTTACACCAAAAACCAAATTCAATTTTGTGAAAAATCGATTTTGCGTAAAAATTCCCGTTTTTCCTTAATTTTTCATTTGTTTTTCAAGGCGCTTTTGAAAATTACTGGGAATTTTAAATTTTGATCTACCCAATACATCAACAATATTCACTTTCCCATCGAACAAGATACTGAAGTTGAAAATCGAACTTCGAAGCATTATTTCGACTAGGTACTTATCAGTTATCATGTAACTTCACAGACACAAAAAAAAAAATCAATAAATAAAAGAAAAAAAATCACACATCATTGTAAAATCAATACGACAATACATTCAATGTTCCACTCAGAATCTAAAATAACCCAAATTTAATTTTTGAGGCAATTGACATTTAAATTTTTACCTGCTTCAATATAGACTTATAAATTAGTTATACCTTATAAATAAGATAATAATTAATATAGGAAAATTAGGAGCAGAGAAATTCAACAACTATAATAGGGCTCACTACCGATAAAAATATACAATTTAAATAATAATAATAGGTAAATACATAATTAATATAACATGATGTATCTACACAAAATGTATTTTTTTTTATTAAGTTTAAATTTCGATAAAATGGGAAGGAAAATATTGGTTGTAAAAATGCTTACCAATTGTTAACATACATTTTAATATAAAAAATACTCAGGACGCAATTTATATCAAAAAGGTACATTCGGACTCAACTTACAGTCACCCAGATAGGCAGGTAGGTACTTACAATAAAATTCAATTTCACATTTATTAAATAATTAAGCTAGATAAATAAATAAATATATTGTTGTTATTTATTTATTAATTTTATTTAACTTTTGTATTATTATTACCTTTTTACTCTAACTATAGCAACTATCCAATTTTAACACTCCACGATATATTTTAATAATAGTAAAATGTTGTCTTTCATTCGTTGGCTACACTTGTAACACTGCAATGATGCGCAGATTATAGTACCCAGCTGGTAGGTCGTAGGTATCAAACTATATAATTATATTGCAGCATACATACCAGCTAACTCGAAATCAGATTGAACATATTTAAAACTGTTAACCGTAAACTTATTTCCGGTTCCTGTTTTTATTATAAAATATACAAACGCTATAGCTTTATACCTAATAGCTATAGCTATACCTATAGCCATACAGGCATAGAATAGATGACATTTTATCCAAACCCAATATAATGACAGGTGGAAACGTGGAATTCTGTCATACTGGAATGTATAACACACATTTATAATGTGATGTCTGATGAGTGTGTATATTTATATTTTATACATAGTATACTTGTATAAGCTCAAAGAATGCAAATAACCACAAGTAAACATACCTAATAATATTATATTATGTGATATTATAATTATACACAGGTACATACAGGCGACACGGTTGATGAAAAGAATCACTAGACCATAAATATTTGATAAAAAAAAAAAATAGGGAGAAGTATACTGTATAGATATTTTTATATTAAGTTAGTGGTACCTACTATACCTATACGTATTATAAACCGGAAAATGACTAGGAGCTCAACGAATTCAACTAATCCTTTAACCTTAACAGTATTGTTGAATTAGTAATTATAATATAAATCTGTAAGTAGGTTACAGTGTCACAGATCAGTGGTGCAACTAGAGTTCAAATATTGGGAGTGTTACAATTACGAATTGCTCACATATAGTAATGGAGGGCTCTGCACCCCTCCCCACGGCACTCAATAATCCATATTAATAATATTTAGATTATACTATTATTCACAATTTGTTGTTCAACAACTTTGGCACCCCATGCACATTTTTCGATTTGTTTTTTTGGAACTTACCTACTCATATTAGGTAACTATTTAAGAGCAATGGTGCAATCAGAATTTGTCAGTCGGACTTAGTTTCGAAGTTATGGCTTAATGAAGTTTACTATTTTGTAATTTTTACGCATTCGCAGATCACTCTAGTTTACTACGCCTTTTAAGAATATTGATATATTTTTTTTTTAAACTAATGTACTACAACGAGTTGAGAACGATTGTGAAATCAACATTTGATAGCCGGACTTCGTTTTGAAGTTGTATACAAAGGCAGTTTTCGAATTTTGTTTTTTTATGCATTCACACAACACTCTTATAAATGTCTTTATGCTATACTAATCTATTATAACCCACATATAACAATATAATATAAATATTTATGCTCTTAAAAATTCAAAAATATATTAGGTACCTATGTTAATAAAAAATAATATTGATATTATATTTAAATTTTAAAGTGCACTTTACCAACCCCCACGATTTAAAATTTTTTTTCAAACGACTGTTTTTAAATTCACAATGATGGTGTAAATTTTTTTACCTTAAACT